AATTATTATTAAAAATAAAGTTATAAAAAAAAAAAAAAAAAAAAAGAAAACTGCTGTGACCAGCGTGTATGCTTATGAGCGTCATGCAGAAATGGTTTTCAGCATTCCCATGCTGGGCCCCCGAAATGATTAAGATAATGCTCAGGTGACTAGCAGTTTATTAAAAATAAAGTTATAAAAAAAAAAAAAAAAAAAAGAAAACTGCTGTGACCAGCATGTATGCTTATGAGCGTCATGCAGAAATGGTTTTCAGCATTCCCATGCTGGGCCCCCGAAATGATTAAGATAATGCTCAGGTGACTAGCAGAGCGTGACCGATATTAACATTCAAAGGTTCAGCCACATAGCGAGAAAGAACCTCTGCTCTGTAGAGCCACACTGTGACCCCCTGTTATTAGCATCTTAAATCCATAAAATCTTCAGATCATGCATGGCTTCCCATGAATTTATGCCCCACTTTCTACCCGTGCGAAGAAACAATAAAACGACACTTAATCCAGAAGGGCAGCGTGCTTGTTCACTTGCTGTTCACCAGCTTTTAAATATTAATGCAAAGTGCAAGGCGGGAGAGATTCCTGGCAGACTTATATTGCTGTCTAATAGAGGCTTCTGCATGAAACTTGGGGGGACACTGCAGGGTCTGATTCTGCAGTGGGATGAGGGTCTGACTGTGCAATCCTACACTGAGTTCAGTGGGCTTAGCCTGGAGTTAATGCTACACAGGATTGCACTGTAAAACTCTTAGTATTAGGAAAAAAGGAAGACCCATTATGAGATGGATTATTCAAGAAAGGAAGCCACAGCCTTCATTTTGCAAGACCTGAGCAAGGCTGTTAGTGATAGAATGTTCTGAAGGTCATCGGTTCATAGAGTTATCCAGGGCTTTTTTGGGGCAGGAACGCACAGGAACGGAGTTCCGGCTGGCTCCTGAGTTGGCCACGCCCAGCAGGAACTCATTAGCATAATAGGCCACACCCAACAGCAGAAATCCATTAGGATTGGCTACATTAGGGGTGTGTGGCCTAACATGCAAAGAAGTTCCTGCTACAAAAAAAGCTCAGGGTTTTGACAACAAACAAGGTAAACAGAATAAGAAGCAAAAGGTGTGTGTGGCTGGATGACCATACTTCTGGTAACATGGGGGTGCGGCCTAATATGCTAATTAGCCGTGATGTCAGGGGTGTGGCCTAATATGCTAATGAGTTTCTGCTCTTGGGTGTTGCCTATTATGCTAATGAGTTCCTGCTGGGCTTTTTCTACAAAAAAAGCCCTGGAGTTATCATATGTTGGAAGCAGCGTGATGGCATATCACGCACACGTTGTGTCTGTTTAAGACAAAGGCGTTACTTGCAGCAAAGACAAAATGTTCTTATGGTCCATATCCAGCTGTGATTTGCTGGGATTGTTCCCGCATCTTCACATTAATTTTGGCTAGATTTTGGCTAGAACTTTTAAGATACAGCCCAGGATGTCACAATGATCAGACATTGCTGATGTTGTTTTGCTTTGCTTTGCTTTCCAACCTGCACTAGTCTTAAAGCTGGACTGCAGGCTTCTGCATCTGAAGATAAAAGGAAAAGGCTGGCATTCTCAGGCATCACATTACTCCTAATAAGCAAGCTGTTTACCCCTGCAAATATTTGGCTCCACAGACACTTATTGTGGCTAGCAACAGGAGAGAGTTGTCATGTCCCCCAAGTTACAAAGGATCCAGATAAGAATTTACATGTCAGTACTTCATATAGATTTCACAATGGAGTTTTTAGCAAGAACAAAATTGGTTTTGTAAATGAGCTCTCCATTTTCAAAAACACTCTGTGTACAGTATAATCTGAGGGTGCAGCCATAGGACAACTTTGTAGGAGTTAATGTACTGCTCATACATAGGAACTTAAGAAGAGCCCTGCTGGGTCAGACCAGTGATCCATCTAGTCCAGCCTCCTGTCTCACAGAGTGGCCAACCAGTTCCTCTAGATGTCTAACAACAGGGCATAGAGAGGCCAAGGCCTTGCCCTGATGTTCTTTCTGTTATCCAGAGGTTTTCTGTCTCTGAAATTGGAGGTTCCCATTAGTCACCATGGCTAGTAGCCCTTAGTGGACCTATCCAGCATTAATCTGTTTAATCAGTCGATGCTTGTGGCCACCACTAATCTACTGGCTGTGAATTCCACAATTTGATTACTCATTGAATAAAGAAGTACTTCCTTTTGTCGTTCCTAAATCTGTTGCCCACAATCTTCATCGGGTGTCCCCGAGTTCTCCGTATTCATGTATTATTTTGTAAACCGCTATCATGTACCCCCGTTTCCAAACTGAAAATTCCCAGACACTTTAGCCTTTCCTTATAGGAAATCTGCTCTAACCCCTTAATCATTTTGTGTTGCCCTCTTCCATTCTGTGCTTTCTCCAGCTGTGCAGTATCCTATTTGAGGTACAGTGATCAGAACTTCACATAGGATGCCCAATGAGATCTCATCATGGCTCTATACAGAAAACATCTTACTTTTTAAAAAATCATGTGCAAGCTTGACTCTAACAGTTTATGGCCTTTTATGTTCTACTTGCATGTTCTACTTTCTGTTGCTGGCATCAGTTGATTCATCCCATGCTTTTGCAAGTAAATGTGGAGGAGCGGGGACCAGTGTTCCCTCTAAGCTGAGTTAGTGTGAGCTCACAGTTTTTTAGCCTCTGGCTCACACATTTTTGTCTTAGCTCAGGAAGGATGGCTCCAGAGAAAATGAATTTCTGCAGCAGCCAAATCACTCGCTCACAACTTTAAAGCCAGTAGCTCACAAAGCAGAGTTTTTGCTCACAAGACTCCATGGTTTAGAGGGAACATTGGATGGGACTAGGAATAAAAGGCCGAGAACTACTGTGTTCTGAAGCTTTTGTGTTTCTGCCTCTGGCTTATTCCAGTTTCCCTGTTTCTGAATAGGAGACTGAGGAAGTCAGAAACGTCTAAAAGATGAGCTTGGGCACAAAGAGTTGTTGAGCAAAACAAAGTTAATAGAGTTTTTTCCACATAAAAAGTGATACAGAAATAATAAATCATTGTCACCCTTACCTCTTTGTTCTCTCATGTTTACCTGTAGACAAAAATACGTAGCATGATCATGTCCCATTAAAGTGAGTGGAGTGAATGGTGCCCTGCTGGCTTCCTGGGTCCCAAACCCCTGATAACTGCAGAAGGCCTCATTCGAGAAACTGTTGGTTAGCCCGGCTTGAGATATGTTTCAAATAATTTAAAAAGATGGGTTGTTTCATATCCTAGAAAATAAATGCAATACTTAAAAAAAATAAATTAAAACCCACGATACTGCTTATACATTAAGTTGGAGACTTTGGTGTGCTTCAGTCACACCCATTGGACGGGAGGTCAGTGGACTGCAGTAGGAGGCCAGAGGGAGGAAATCTCCATTCTACCGTGGGAAAATTTAATCTGGATCCAGCTGATTACTGTAATCTCAGCTGCACAGCTGCCAGGGTCCAGTGATGATTTCTGTTACCCATAGTTAGCTCAAACTTCATGTTGAAAATAATGGTTAAAAACAGGTTTGCACATGGGCTTGCCAACTCCAGGTTGGGAAATTCCTGGAAATTTTTGGGGGTGGAACCTGGAGTGGGCAGATTTCAGGGAGGGGAGGGACATTAGTGGAGTATAATGCCACAGAGTCCACCCTTCAAAGCAGCCGTTTGCTCCAGGGGAACTGATCTCTGCACTCTGGAGATGGCTTGCAGTTCTGGGAGATCTCCAGGCCCCGCCTGAAGGTTGGCATCCCTATTTGCACACTTGATTGCTTTTGAAAATGAATGGGGGGCGTTGTGTGGGGGAGGGGAATGAGAGGAAATGGGCAATGATTGTGTGCAAGTCTGTGCAGTGCTCCAGACTGGGCAGCTGTGAGGCTTTCCTCCCTGTTCCATGCACAGTAGCTGCATTTGCCATAAGAGCTCCCTTCTCATGACAGGGTGCCGAGAGGAAGATTCGAGATGAAGAGAGGAAGCAAAACAGGAAGAAAGTGAAAGGCCAACTATCACAACCCCCGTGTAGCAATGGTAAGGAAGAGCCCCCCGCCCCAGACTCCATTCTCGGTTGTGCTTAGCCGTGTTTATTATCCGTGATTGTTCATTTTGCTCTCTTGATTCCCATGAACAGCCGATGGGAAACTCGCTGCTGTCCCTCTCCAGAAGAAGAGTGACATCACCTACTTCAAAACAATGGCCGACCTGGACTCCCAGCCTGTTCTTTTCATACCAGATGTTCACTTCGGGAATCTCCAAAGGACTGGGCAGGTAGGAAGTGGCTAAAAGTCCAAGTGCCTAATTCTTATCACTGGAATGATCAGGTAGTATATAAAATCCCAGCAGGCTTTTTGGTGGATGTTTCTGAAGGAGGTTAGCTGTTTGCATCTGCAGCATTGATACACTGTAGGAAGTTCAGAGGCAGAGGAGCCCGACCAGCCAAAGTAAGGCCCCGGTGCTTTCACTGGGTGAATCAAGCAGTTTTAAAATGAATGAGGAATTGCGATAAATGATGGCGTCTGTCCATTATAACAAAGGACAGAGAGTTAAAATAGTATGCAAAGCGCTTTAACTGCCTGTTTACACTGTTAGGAATCAGAACGTCATTTCAATGTTGTTGTTTGCATGTCCTCCATATTTTGAACCTCCCTATTTTGAATCGTTGTGTAAATGTTATTAAAATAAAGAGAAGGACTATTTTCCCTTCTGGAAAGCAGCACACAAGGAGAACTTGGGAAATTTTCCTGCGACTTCACATAGGTCTTAATGGACAGATGTGCATTAAAGGTGTGTGAACCACAACAGAAGCTTTGTTAATACAGAAGGATTCTTAGTGAGCCAAAAGTGTGCAAAGAAGCACCTTGGGGTTTTTGTCTTTGTTCACAGGATGACACCTTTTCAGTTTCTCAAAATGTGGCTCGAAATAAAGAAAATCTACAGGAGTATCGCAATTTGTGCAGTCTCAACTCAGGTTCTCAACTCAGTGGTCCCGCGCAGATGTAATATTGCCCAGTCAGGAGCAGTTCACAGACCTGCACATTCATATCCCTTCTCTTCTCATCCTATCTCCTACATAGTCCCCCCCCATTCATTATCACAAATGATCAGTGTGCAACTCCATTTCTAACCATTATTTTCAACATGGGTAAATATGGGTAACAGAAATGCAGGTGCAGAAGTAATTCTGTACAATGTTCAGTCATCACCTGGCTCCTGGCAGCTGTGAATTGGATCCAGACTAAATTTCTCCCATGGTAAAATGGAAATGTCCTACCTCCTACTTCAGCCCACTGATTCCCATGAAGTGCTGCTCCTGGGGAATAGGGGGACCCTGAGGGAAGGCATGAGGAAAGACTGTAGCGGGAAGGGGGAGAGAGTGGAGACTTCCAATGTAGTCTGGGTCCCACCCAATGACTCTTACCTCTTCTACCCACGTTTCCTGCTGGACAATATTAGATTGCCTCAATGCATCTAGCAAGAGAGAGTAGTTAACAGTAATACTTGGCATTGATATTGAGCTGTTTGGACCATGTTTGACATCTTCCCAAGAGAGAACAGCATCCACTTCCCCAGTTTTGTTTCCTATGTCTTGGCACATTCCTTTCATATCTGCCTCAGAGTGTGACGAGGACATAATTAATCTAAATAATATTAAGACAGTCACAACGATGAGCAGAATGATCAGCCTCTGACTAGATTGTTCAGTGTAACCAAGTTTCAAGTGACAAGGGTAGGAGGTTACCATAATTTCTTTTAATCAGCCATCATTTAGAAGATCGTTCTCACCTTAGACTTTCTGATAATAGCTGTCACCTAAAGTTATTTTTCCAGCACAGGAGAGACTCAGACTTGTAGTAGACATCAACACTGTTTCTCCCCCCACACACAGACACAAGCTGAACTCTTTTGAATGGAAATATGAAATGCATGTACATTGCAGCTCCTTTCAGCAAGAGGATTGCTTTAGCCTAAGAAATATTTGCTTGCATCCACTGAGCATTTCTGCATGTGGAGCATTACTTTTTTCTTTCCCTCCACTCACTGCAGCCTACAGCGGTCCCCAAAATGCTGTTTCCCCAGGAGCAGCATGGGGGCCATTTCAGGCTGCAGCAGAAGGGAATGGGCAAGGCGGTTGCCATCTGTGAGCAAACCCCTTCAATTTGCAGAAATGGCCTGGTGGGCCAATGTATCTAATTTTATAAAGGGTAGAATGTACATAACTGTTATGATTGTGCAATCATGGACAGTTGCTCTAACATGTCGGCCATATTTCAACACAGAACTAGGTGCTTTTCAACTCACTGGTTTTATCCGGTCTAAGCAGGCCTAGTTTTTATTGAGATGACTCCATACAGTTTGCTTGGGGCTGCAGGCTATTAAAGGGCACAGTCCATTCAGGACTTTTCCTGTGCAAATCCCTTTGGAATGATGAGCAGCACATGCTTATGCTGGGTTCAATGAGCTGATGCTTTTCGACAAGGAAAAGAGAACCAACATAAACCAGGACCAGTGCGTGCAATTGCTCTGCCTCTTCCTTGGATCCCCTGTGTACCAGCTTTTCATGATATTGTGACAATAAATCTGTTGTTTTTTTTTTGGTTGGCTTTTACAGGTTTACTACAACACAGATGACGAGCGAGAAGGGTAAGGCACTTATGGCTTCACAGGTTTTGCAGCTGGGAGGGCTCTTGGGGGAAAGTTTTGATGCCATTTAAAGCTAAATGTTTTTTCTCTTGGCAGAGCCGGATTCTTTGCTTTGTTGTAACTTTGGTCACATTTGTTGTTAAAAAAAACAAGTTGATTTTTAGTGTACAGGATTACATGTGCTCCTGGATAGCCTCTGTGTAACTTATGCTTTAAAACAATAGCAAAACTCTGTGGCAAGATAGCCTAAATTCCATCGCTAGGAAAACCGAAGTCTTCAGTTTATGTATTATTATACTAATCCAGAATAGTTGGGGTGGGTTGCTTGTTTTGCACTTTGGAGGCCATTGACTCCCCTCCTTTGAAATTTCTGCTCAGCCCCTCCCTCCTCAGGCTTCTGGGAGTTTAACCTCACAACTGGGGGGGGGGGTGTAATTGAGACTCCCAGGATGCTACTTTTTGTGCCAATGCAAGCGTCCATGAGGTGCTTGTACATAGAATCACAGAATCATAGAGCTGGAAGGGACCTCCAGGGTCATCTACTCCAACCCCCTGCACAATGCAGGACATTCACAAATACCGCCCCCTCCACACCCGCAGTGACTGTTCCATGCCCAGAGTAGCAGAAATACACACAGCATTAGTACATCAGACAACAGGGCAGTGATACTGATTCAGTTCAACACACTGACTCTTAAACCTAAGCAGTAACATGGTTTTTACATTAGACCTGTCAATAGTGCCTAGAACTGCTCACAGATTACCTGGGATTAGGCTAGGAAAAAGAGTATATGCGGTTGCTGTTTCTGTCCTTCAGGAATTCTGACAAAACAGAAAATTCAGAGCTCCAATTGATCTCTGATCACTCTCAGGACCAAGCTACACAATACACCCGACACATGCTGGGTCACAGGCAATGCTCCCTCTAAGCCGTGGAGTCTTGCAAGCAAAAATTCTACTTTGTGAGTTACTGGCATTAAAGTTGTGAGCGAGCAGTTTGGCTAATGCATAAATTAGTTTGCTCTGGAGCCGTTCTTCCTGAGCTAAGACAAACCTCTGTGAGCTGGAGGCTAAAAAACTGTGAGCTAGCTCACACTAACTCAGCTTAGAGGGGACACTGGTCACAGGTGCACAACTGGACTCACACTCAGATATATGTCAGGAGAACTCACCTTAAAAAGTGCTCATTCACTCGGTTCTATGAGGGAGTGCAGCAAAGGGTGAAAAGGAGCTTCTGATTTCCCTTTCACCCTTTCATGTTACCCGAAATCCTCCTAGTGAGAATTATTCCTGTGGCCCAACTCTGCCTTACAGACGACAGTGGGCTGTGAGTTCGTTTCCCCGTGTATCCAGAGGGCGGAATCAGAATGGACTCTCCTATTTCCCAAGAAGCGAGACAACACACTGATGTTTAATGAATAAATGTTGTCTTTACTAAATATTGTTGATCACAAGCACACAAAACAGATGCTCTCACGCATACACTCAAGTTCCTTTAGTTCACAATAGATACAGAAAACAAGCAGTAATAAAAATAATGACTTCAGACTAACACGGAGGTAACACACAGAAGGGTACAGTTGATACTTATCTGATCCATGCAGAAGGAATTCTTCTCAGTGGGGAAAACAGGAACAAAAGATCTCACCAGAGGGATCCTTATTCACACGGATGGACCAGCCAAACACGTGTGGGCTATCTTGGTGTGCACTTCCAAGAAAGCACTCGAGAATCACCTCTAGCAGAGCTTCGGTTGCCTAATGTGGAGGGGGGGGGGTTGTCTCGCTAGCTTTGCTTGCTAGCAGTTTGCAGCTTAAGTTACAGAAAGGTGGGGGATGGCTAGCTAACTAACAAAGGACAAAGTTGTGCATTGCCTTTTAAAAACCTACTATTAGGGCTGGCTCTGAGTGCCAACCTCCTGTTCTTGATCCGTCCCCTTCTCTATGTCTATTGGTGAATGGGGAGGTGACGTCCAGTGATCCCTCTAAGCTGAGTTAGTGTGAGCTAGCTCACAGTTTTTTAGCCTCCAGCTCACACATTTTTGTCTTGGCTCAGGAAGGATGGCTCCAGAGCAAACTGATTTATGCAGTAGCCCAATCGCTCGCTCACAACTTTAATGCCAGTAGCTCGCAAAGTAGAATTTTTGCTCACAAGACTGCGCGGCTTAGAGGGAACATTGGTGACGTCTACCTGGAGGGAGTGGGGCAATATTCAAATTCTAAGCCTAAACTTCAATGGGAGCCATTTGGTCAGGTGTCAAAGTTGCATTGCCATAGCAACCTTTGACTTGCAGATGCTGGCCTGGTCCAAGAAGGCAATAACAGGATGTTGTCTTTTGTGATGCCAAACCAGATACGAGGGGTTACATGTTATGCAGAAGATCTCCAATGGTGGAAAGTTGTTGTTTCAACAGTCCTTTGTGGCTGAGCTGTAATGGAGAATGTCTTCTTTGTCCCAAGGCATGATGGGAAGGTCTGGGTGTGAGTGCGTGTGTCCATTAGCGTGCAGGCAGAGCAGGCCTTGCACACAGCTGTTTTCAGGTGCTAGCAAATCAAAGCAAGCAAACCCAAGGCACACAGCTTTTCCCAATCCCACATACACAAATGCAGAGACAATTACAGACATGCAGACATCAGCATAGCACAAATAATACATTCAAAGCACACTTGGCAACATTCGCCAGCAGAAAGAGCAGCGGCAGGCCTTTTCACCCTTTTTCTTTGGCTCCAGTTGTCCTTCCTGGAGCATGTGGAGCCAGAGAAAAGGGTGATCCCCCTAATGCCACCCTTTGCACTGGTGAAAGTGGGGTGGGAGGGAAACCAGAAACTCCTTCTCCCTTGCTGTACTCCCTCATAGTGCCAAGCGAACAAGGAATTTTTAAGGCGAGTTCCCCTGATGTACGTGTGATGCTGAGTCCACTCCCTCACCCATGACCAGACATATGTTCGGTGTATTGTGTTGGTACACTCTCAAAGTAGTCTTGGCCAATGTCATTGCAGAACCAAGGATGTAGTAATGGCCACAGGAATAAACAGCTTTAGAAGGGGATTACATAGATTCATGGAGGGTACGTCTATCAATGGCTACTAGCCATGGCAACTGAGGGGAATCTTCACATTCAGAGGAACTAAACCACTGAATCCCAGAGCCAGGCAGCAACATCAGGGGAAGGCCTCAGCCTCTGTCCCCTGCTGTTGGCCCACCAAAGGAACTGACTGGCCTCTGTGTGAGACAGGATGCTGGTTAGATGGACCACTGGTCTGATCCAGCAGGGCTCTTCTTATGTTTTTAACAGCACAGACAGTATTACATGCTCAGTTATTGTTATACAGAACACTGGATTTGGTTCAGTATTATAAAGCTTGTTTGTCTATTTTATCCTCCAACAGAAGTATCTTAGCTAAAAGGATATTCCGGCCAGTAGAGGAAGAGTTTGGCCCTCCACCACTGAAGCAAATAAAAGAAGAAGGAGCCAAAAGAGGTACATGTTCGTTCTCAGGCACTATGTCTCTTTTTCTTTGATTCTATGGTAATCAGGGAAAGAGAAAATAATAGTTGGTTCTGAGTGGAAGCACGGTTGTGGGGTACCACCAGAGCATTTAAATATAAAACCTACAGATTGCTAAAATCATTAATCCCCAGTCTTTGAATGTATAAAAGCAATCAAAAGTATTTATTTTTTTCAGTGAACACCATTATGATCAGTTACCAATGATAAAGTAAACCATAAAAGAGTGTTGATGGACCAGAGCCCACTTCACCAGAGGCATGGAACGTATCCTCATTTGGCAGATATATACACACAGGCATAGAGGGGAAAATTATAAACAGTGGATCCAAAAAGTGAATGGTTTATCTCCAACACGGATTCCCCCATTACAGTTCCCACTGTTGTGAATGATTGCTGTACTTAGCTTGTGTATGTATGAACTTTGTATAAAAACCATAGTATGTTCCTCTTACATTTCACAACCTTTTGGCCACAGTTTATAATTTCTTTTCACTTCTATGTGTTTGTGAATGCATCTGAATATCTGCTCGCCGATAACACACTTCATGCATTTGATCAACCGGGTTCTGTTCCACAGAAGCATATGCCACAATGAATGTGTTAGGTTTTGATATGCCCAGAGATGTCAGATTTTCAATTAAGCCATTGGAGGGAGGGGAGTATTATTCCTGGGGGTTTTTGGGGGGGCGATGGTGGGAATACCATAAAATACATCATTTATAACTCACGTGGCATGCAGCATTGTACTATTTGTGGCCTGTTTATGAAATTTATAAGAATGAATGCCTTATATTGTCATCCAATGTGGAGTTACACCCTTCTAAGCCCATTGACATCAATTAAAAAGTGTAACTCTGCTTAGGATGAGTTAATTTTTTATACGCAAACTTGTGATTATACACCATATTGCATCCTGTTACCTCTGTACACACACACCAGGATGTGCATACAGTGTTGGGAGCAGTGTTTCCTCTAAGCTGAGTTAGTGTGAGCTAGCTCACAGTTTTTTAGCCTCCAGCTCACACATTTTTATCTTAGCTCAGGTGGGTTGGCTCCAGAGCAAACTATACAGTAGCCAAATTGCTCACTCACAACTTTAATGCTAGTAGCTCACAAAGTAGGATTTTTGCTCACAAGACTCCACAGCTTAGAGGGAGCATTTGTTGGGAGGGGAAAACTAGATATTTTCAGTTGTATATCTTTTGGACATGGACTTCTTGTAGCCAGTAGCTGTCCGTTGACAAGTTTAAAGGTTAGAAGGCCCACTCCAGTATACGTAATTATGCACACATTTGCATTTTATCAAAAATAAATGTTTACGATCACATATGGCACATGATGAGGAGCTGTTAATGGTGCATGTGTTAATGCCAACACAATGTTCCCACATTTCAAAAATAAGATAGCAGTTCCTCTCAGCCTCCCTGGGACCTTGGTTGGACTTTGCTTCTAGGAACCCTCTTTTGCAAACTTGGGCACAGAGCGTTAGAAATCAGGAGTCATTCCAAGAAGCCCCTGAAGTCTAAAATGAGAGGTGCTGGAGCTTGTGGCTTCCTGCAGATCATGTCCTTTCGTCTAGAAATCTTTCCCAGAAAATCTCAAGAGATGTGATTAGTTTTTGTAGAGTCTCTCTCTTTTTCTTTTATTGTATCACATGCCTCTGATCTGGCATTCAACCAGGTTTTGGGTTTAAGCCTGAGCGAGGGCCAATTAAATCCTGATTCTTTGGCTGGGAAGGTACTGCAGTTTAGTCAAAGTCTGAATGTCTTGATATAAAACCAATGTGAGCTGCCCTGAGTCTGTTCGAAGGGAGGGCGGGGTATAAATTTAATAAAATAGATAGATAGATAGATTAGTTCAGATGTCAGGGCAAGGCATGGATTGTCACTACATGGCCAAGCCTGAGGAGTCCTTAGGCTCATAAACTCCCTTCTCTACCCCCAGCCCTTCCAGACATGGCCAGCTAATTGGAAATTTCAGCTTTTCTGGTAAATCATAGTTTCCCATCACATCTGAACCAACAAGCTATGTTTTTCACTTTCCCAGTGAACCAGAATGCTTTCCTTGTTGGCTTTCTGGGGGCACCTGGATAGACCTGGTGGAAAATTGAGTGCTAGGCCAGGGGATTTAGCAGAGCTCTTCTTATGATTCCAAGTGGGGAATAAACCATGGTTTGAAATCCTAGGCTGCACTTGCAAGGCCAGCCCACACCATAACTTGCGGGTTTGGATCAAATGCTATGATTTGTCTCAAATCTGTAATTATCTCGAAGGCTTTGCATGAGGGGGAGGGTGAAGGAAAGTGTGTGAAATCATCCATCTCCTTCTGTTTGGCCACAGTATTCTGTTACATAAAGCTAGCCATTGATTGGTTGTCTGTTACACGGAGAACTGTTGTTCAACATCGTCTGCATTCTTTCTATAATTCCGCGATGCAGCCGTGGCTGGGAGGCAATCTGAATGACACCCCACTGGGCATAGCATTCTGGATGATTGATCAGATCTGATTAGTGTGATCTGATCAGTGACAGAAGTCCATTCAGCCTGCTGAAGAAATTCAGAAGTTCAAACCTGCATCCTTCATAAACATAACAGTGAGTCAGGTTTGCCATTATCCCATCAGTAACAGAGCTGTCATTTGATATATGCTTCCTGGACAATAATAATTGCAGAGAAAAAGACGGAGAGTACAATTTAAAGAAGAGAGCAAACACAGAAAGGTGTAAACAAAGGCAAGTGAAGACAGAGATGTGGGGGCAATGCCATATTTGAAAGCATGTTATTTACAGTGTAGCTTGAGCAAATAGTGAGTAGGATCAGGCTGCTGTTTACTTGAAGGAACTACAGTGGTACAAGCTAGGTAATTTTAGACTGTGGGCTTACTTGCTTGGATCCAGTCAAACATTGCCTGTGGCCTTCGTCTCTCCCCACACTTCTGCTGCAGCCCGGAATGCCCACTGAGATGCTGCTCCTGGAAGTCAAGGGGGTATCAGAGGTCTGAAACGGGAGGGGAAACACCCGTTTCTACACGCCGCTATCCTCAGACCCCACACATGAATACCAGCGAGAACTCAACAAAATCATGAAGACAATACCAACACACATACAGGAACAAATTTATATGGATACACCCCGAGAACCTCGACTGGGCACTTTCTCCCTCCTGCCAAAGATACATAAACCTGGCAACTCTGGACATTCCATTGTCCCAAACATCGGCACCATCACTGTAGGAATATCAGGATATATGGATTCTATCCTGAGACCATATGTTATTAATACCCCCAGCTATGTCCGTGATACCACAGACTTGCTGAGAAAACTGCAGTCCATCAACCATCTCCCAGAAAACTGCATTCCAGCCACTATGGATGTTGAGTCTCTGTAAACCAACGTCCCCCGTAAGGGTGGAGTACAAGCCATTAGAAACATCATCCTTGACAACACCACAGCAGAACTTGCCACTGAACTCTGCATGTTTGTTCTCACTCATAACTACTTCAATTTTGGTGAGAACTTGTACCTCCAAATCAGTGGCACAGCGGGGGATTCCGGTTCCGGCGCGGCGACAGCGAATGGCTCTGAGCTTAGCTCGGTGCCTGGAGCTGTATTCTTGATCTGTAAAAGAGGGAAACTGGCAACAGTTTTCCCTCCAAGTGCTCTCGGAGGGAGACATGTGTAAGGTGGGCTGTTTTGGAGCTGAGACGGCGGCGGCGGCACGTCCCGACTCTGAGAATCCACCAAGGCGACGGGTCAAGACAAGAGGGCTAGCCACTGTGCTTGGAGCCCAGAGCGGTAGCTGGAAAGCCAAGGATGTGCTTCGGCAGTAAAGACTTTAACTAACTAAAAGATTGCTGAAGAACTTTACTTGCAGTTGTGTGGTGTCTCCCCGAGAGGAAGAGAGAGCTGGCGATGGTAGCGGACAGACGCGGAGCTGCGCTAACGCCCGAGGACGCCTAAAGACCAAAGCAATCGAGCACCGGGATTGAGAGAAGAGAGAGAGCGGCTGAGTCAAGGACGGTGCTTCGATTTTGTAGGAGAACAAGCAGAGGTGGAAGGGGTTATTAAGCAAAGATCCGGATTGAGTGGACACGTGGCGACAGGAATTTATTTGGAACGGGCAAGTAGCAGCTTGACCTAGATTTCGTTACTTCTGGATTTATCGAACTATCGCTTTTTGATTGGCTGAGTCTGGATGGTGTTGAGTTGCCCAGAACTGAAAGAATTGGGAAGAAGAGGACGAAGACGACCTAAAAGCTGACTTTGGAAATGACAAAAGACTTTAATAGACTGTAGTTAAAGGTGAATGGACTGAGTGAAAGGGACTTTACTCTGTTTAGTTAAACTGTTGGATGGTACGACCGGTGTGACTGAGAACGGAAGGTAGATAGGAGTGGTATGGCTATAACTGAAAATATTTGAGAGTGAAGGGATGAATGAGAGGTGTTTGGTGTGAGGCCAGTGAGTGTAAGTGGATGAGAGTGTGAAAAGTGTTAAACTAATTACTATTATTATTATTATTATTTTTCTTCTCTTTTTTGGGGGTGTGGGGCACTGATGGGAATCGGTGACAATAATTTCAAAAGTTATTTTAAGATAACTGGAAGATAAGAACATAACAGATTATAAGTGAGCAATTGGACAGGTTGAAAACTATAGAGAGTGGATTAATCGGTGGGGCTGAAAGAACCCAAAATGGCGAGTGGTGCAAGGAAAGGGTCAGCGCATTCACCTGGGCAGATTAAGACAGTAGCCTCCAACTTATCACAAACTAAAGACTTAAACACCCAAATAAACGAAAGTATAAACAAAGCAATGACACTAGCAATACAAACTATGCTACCAGAGTTGATGGCGAAGGCAATAGAGCCTTTACAAACAAAACTAGAGTCTTTTACACAACATATAGCTGTACAAATGGAAGAGTTTAGAACACAAATAACGGAAAATAAACAAGATATTGCTAAACTA